AAATGTACAGAACAAAGAAAGGTAACTGAAATCTGCTAGGAAAAAATAACAAGTTACATATAAAGGAAAACCCATCAGAATAACAGCTGACTTTTCAATGCAAACTATGAAAGCCAGAAGAGCCTGGAACAAAGGATTCACAGTTCTAAACAATCATGGATGGCAATCCAGAATACTTTATCCAGCAAAACTATCTATCAAGTTTGAAGGGGAACAGAAAATTTTCCATGACACGAATGGGCTGATACATGATAGAATAGTGATAGAAAGATAGTGATACATGTGGGTTTGGATTTCCTCCATTGGGGTAGCTGCTCTGAGCTCAGCAGACTGCCAGAGAGTGGTGGGTTCTGGCCTCCCTCTGGCCTCCAACTACTAGAGAGCCTGAGGACCCAAGAGACAGCCTGACAGCCCCAGCATCCTGCCTCCATGTGGTGGTGAGCTTCCTCTAATTGCCCCATACCATCTCTTTACCTGGGATTTTGTGAGGCCCCTTCTAAGGATCCAGGGCAGATCAGGCTTTGGTGGGATAGGGCTAAGATCCTAGTGGATAGCCTGAGAGGGTGGGTTTAGACCTCCATCAGGGTAGCTTCTCACAGCTCAGCAGACCACCAGAGAGTGCCGGGTTCTGGCTTCCCTCTGGCCTCCAACTACCTGAGGGCCTAAAAGAAAAGGATAGAAGACTTCCAAAGTGTTTTTATGAAGTATTGCTATGATAAGACACCACAAAGAAAAAAATTACAGACTGATCTCCTTGACGAACATAGATGCAAATTTCTCAATAAAATACTTATAAACCAACTTAAGACCAGATCAAAAATATCATTCCTGGGGTTGGAGAGATGGCTCAGTGGTTAACCACACTACCTGTTCTTGCAGAAGACTGGACTTCAGTTCCCAGTATCCACATGGTAGTTGGCAACCGTCCTTAATTCTACTTCCCAGGGATCCAATGCCCTCTTCTGACTTCACTAGCATTGCATAACATGGGTGCACTTATATCAATGCAGGCAAAACACTCATACACATAAAATTAAAATAAATGTTAAAATTTTAAAAGAAAAAAAAAGATTCATAGTTTAACAGTAACAACAGGCCTGGCAAGATATTCTTATTTGTACAATAGTGGCACAAATATTATGGGAGTAAACAACAACTCTTTGATTGGATTTAAGGTTCATTTCCTAGTATGGAACCTGAGGCTACACAGACCACAGGACAGAGGGGAGAACCTCTCAACTCTCTCCAGAGAAGTTTCCTTATGCAACAGATGGTGATTAACACAGAAACCCACAACTAATCAACAAGCAGAGTACAAGAGGCTTATCCCTCAATGGAACACTTATCTCAAACTTCTGCCCATCAATGCTTGGGGATCACTGCAGAACGGGGGAGGGCAGAAAGGTTATAAGAGTCAGAGGTGGCTGATGACCACAAGGACACACATCACAGCTGTACATATTCACAGATGTCCTGGGCATGCAAATATAGGCTTCCTAGCATCACCAGTATGTGTGTGTAGGGGAACCTCAGAACACACATACACACACACACAAACACACACACACACATACACCATACACTGTGTCAAACTTGAAGGTCTTATGGACACTTCCAGACTTATTAAAAAGATTGTGTCACTCACCTTTTGGGGAAGAAATAGATGAATGAGTGGGTTATTTTAAATGTCCATCAAAGTGAACTCTAAGTTGTATCTGGGCAACTCATATAGTATCATTAACCTGTTTTTGCACCTGTACCTAGATGTAACACTCTTACACTAGACATGAGGAGTTTCTGGGATGAGGGCCCTTTGGTAC